TCACAACTTTTGCTCCTATTCTCCAAGCAATGGCGCAGAGACCGATAGGACGGCTCTCCTCACCCCGTTTAGGGATAAGCACGACTGTGACACGTTTCCACTGACGTGGAATACGCGAAAGACGGTACGCGGTCCGCCACAGCTCGGTGAAAGCCCGCCACCAGGCAAGGGGTAACTTAAGCAGATCCCTGGCCGACCAACTGTCAGGGCCACAAGCTTTGTGCTGCATGCAGCGAGCGGCGCGCTGCATCTCTGCGACATCAAAGGTGACTGGGTCTGAAAACGGACCTTCGACCGCCGGAAGGACCTGGAGAGCCGTGGCGATGGCATCATAATTCAGCCCCTGCTCTTGGCGGGACCACTTATCCTTCCAGATCGCCGCCTCCTGCTGCAAGAAGGAGAAAGGGTGCACCGTGCGGCAGTCCTCGGGGGCCAANNGAACGGCTTCATCGGCTTTGCGCTTGACCCATGCCGTGGTGGCAACCTGATCGTCGCGCTGCCGAGCCTGCCATCGCGCAATGGCCGCCTGTTTTTCCTGATCGGTTATCTGCTGAAGAAGCGAAGACGCCCATTCCAGCACGTTTTCTATGGAGTCAAGGCTAATGAAAGGCAAACCCTGGAAATTCGAACGAAGCTGCCGGAGACCCCGTCCTATCCGCTGCCGCAGAAAAGGGTCCGAGGGCCTGGCCTTCAACTGACTAAGTTGGTTCACAAGGCGTCGTAAAGCGCGCACCGTGAAGGATTCATGGCCTGCACTGCTGACAAGCTGAGGGCGGGCCGCCTGCGGAGACGGCTGCCACTCCGCACTCCTAAGGGCCCCGCCCGGCTCGGTAGCCATGGCAGCTTCCGCCGTGTCCGACAAAAGGGCCCAGGCCGCGTCGATATCCTGGCGTTCAAGAAACCCTCTAAAGGCCTGCGGCTGCCAGCATCGCTCAAACTCCCTGCTCACCTCCTCAGCAGCACAAGAAGAAAGCTCGGCAAATTTGGGCGGCCTGAAAACCTCGGTGCGAAAAGTAACCGCCAGCTTATAACCCACCACCTTATGGTCCGAAAAACACGTATCCATGTTGAAAATGTCGTCCGCCCACAGGCGTCTGTGCGAAAGTCCATAGTCGATGCGGCGGGTGCGAAGCGGGTTCGTGGGCACCTGCGCCTCAACAGAAGCATCATCCAATGCGTGCACCTGCCCCTGCCGAATCGCAAAGCTAATAGCCCCGCAGTGTTGGGTTGCATTAAAATCCCCTAAAAGAAGAAAACTTCCCCCAAATCGGCTTACAGCTTGGAGCAGCTCACGGATCAACGCATCGGTGGCGGCCTCATCACCTGGAAAGCCATACACAGCAACAATCAGCACATGCTCAAACTGATCGTGACGCTTTGCTTCGATGAGCCCAGCCGCGACACGACTGCTGGCCTGCACTCCTTCAAGTTTGACCGGTCGGCAAGGCACACGGGACACAAGGGCGACTCTGTGAGAGCGAGTCGCAGCATCGATCGGACTGAGAACAGCGGTGCAGCCTTTGCCTCGCCATTCCGCGACATAACCCGGTGAAGACAAGTGGTTCACGTCAATCTCTTGAAGCGCTAAAAGATCAAAAGAGTGCTCTACCGCAAACGCATCAACGACAGCCGTCTTGGAGATGCCAGTGCGACAGAGATTGGCTGTCATTGCACGGATGAACTTGATGCATGGGGAGATCGCTGCAGTGCATCCTCGGCTCCGTTCAGAGCCTCGTTGAAGAGTTGTCGCTCAGAGGGGCTGGAAACCTGATCACGAACCCAGGCCCGCATGATCTCGAGCTTGTCATGTCTCCGCTTCCGCGTAGCTTCAACCCTAGCACGAGGAGGACAAGGCCCCTTGGAGTGCTGCCGCACCGTGCTCAGCACCTGAGAGACTTCCCCACATGTAAGGCACTTCCACGCATGCTGCAAAGAGATGCGCCGAATCGTGCGCTTGCACTCCCCTTTCTTTTTGTTGCCAGGAGTCTTAGCGAAAACCGGAATCGGCCACACGAAGGTCTGCATGCCTGGGAAACGGGGCTTCCTAATCTCAGCGAGGGCAACCTTTTGAAGCTTTCGTGCACGACAGCTCGCCGCAAATCCTTTGGGATCTTTGAGCCCCGGGTGGTTTTGCTTCATCAACTTGGTCCACTCAGGCTTGGGAACTTCGGGGTGGCTCATCCGACGATGTTCCTCACACATGGCAGAGAAAACATGTCTGGTGATCGAGGCTCGGACCTCCTTAGAAACTCCAAGGGGGCACTTTGGGCACTTCCAAAAACGGCTTTTTGCACCACCAACGACCTTACCAACCCTCGGACGAACCAAAGGCCCCGGCAGCGTGGCACCCCCATGATGACGCTTGTAGTGATTCGTGTTCACTTGTCTGTACTGCTGAAGATTCGCCGTGGCCTGGTGGAAAGGACACAACTTACACCTAAAGATCCCATCAGCAGGACGAAGCACCGGAGTACGATGGGAACACGGTGCCAGCTGCTTCCGGGAAGGGGCGGCATCCTCGCATCCCGACAAGTCCTGACTGTCGTCATCGGCGTCGCCTCGGACCCCGACTCCGGAAACCTTGGTGGAGGTACGCGGCTTGCTGCTTTGTTTGGCCGGAGCAGAGCGCTTCTTAGTGAAAACCGAGACGGCGTCGGCTCCGATTTGTGACCCCCTGCTTGTCGCAGCAGCTGTGGGTTTAGCCTTAGAGGCAGCAGTCCAAACCGTGCCAGCTTTGGAGGCCACATCACAAGTGAAAACCGTGCGAGCAGACGCGACGGACGACGCCCGAGCCGATGCAGCCTTGCCCCCGGCCCGAAGGCCACGCACCGGCCCATCGGTGACCTGCCAGAATTCCTCGGGGTAATCCTTGCAGCAGCTGTTTGCACCCGTGGGCTTCAGGAACTCAAGGTGTTTATCTTGAAACCACAGCACCGCCAACCTTTTCTTCTGTGACGTGTGAAAGACCATGGGCTTAAAGCAGTCGGAGGCCGGCAACACGAGGATCCGGAGATCAAAGATCCGACCGAGGGCACGGAGCTCGAGCTCGGAAGCAAAAGAACCGGCCTGGGCCGTGGCATGCAGATAATCCTGCCAGGACTTGTCCTGGGTGCCATCTGGCAACACTTTGTCCCATTCTGGTTCGTATTGAGTACCGTGTTTGGTCAAATGGGAAGCAACTCGAGCACGTAACTCAAGGTGGTTGTAAGCATCGGTCCCGGACTTCTGCTGGATCCAGTTGAGAGCAGCGGCGACGGAGGCATAGGCGCAATTGCCATCAGGAGCACAGGCTTCTCTTTGCAAGCCGCCCGGCACCTCGCGAGTAGCCCCGCGAGCGCGCTTGGCACTTGGAACGGATTTGCCGTTTTCGTCAAGCTCGTTCTGCTCGGTGGCAGCGGCCGCGCTGGGCTTGGCATCAAGACTAGTTTGCTTGCTGGCGCTCACAAACGGGACCGCTTTCTTACCCAACGGTTTTTGCCGCGCTTCAACCTGCCTGGCCGGAGCAAGGGTTGCCCACAGACAAATAGGATCACCGTCATCGATTTGGATGCGCAGCGGGACCAAGTCTTTATCCCCCGCCAAACAAACCGCCCGGAAGCGCAGGGAGAGAGAACCTTTTTTACGTCTGTGGGACATTAGGGCTATCTCCTTGAAGCCTTGTTCAAGAGCCGGTAGCATGTCCTGAGCATTGACAGTGCCCGGGAGACCATCGAGGGTCCAGACACGGGGCAGCACCTCCCCATCGATCAAAGGATGTCTCCAGGCAATGCGCTCTCCATACACCGAAAGCCCCAAAGCAGGCGCGCCCCGAAGGGCTCGTTGCATGTAAAGCTCATGCGATTCTTGTTTGGACAACCTGGGGATCCACTCACTACGAAAGCGGTGAATGTCACGCTTGGCAGGCTCTACAAAAACTCCTCGTTGCCCCGAGACTCCCAGCAAAGTGCCAACATCAGCAGTTGGCACTCGCATGATGCCGAAGAGCTGGCGACCCGGAGCATTTCGCAACTGTTCCTCAACCCAGCCAAAGGAGTCAATCCCCTGCACATGTTGAGAGCTGGACCACTTCATCGAGGCACGCTCGGCCCCGGCTTTGAAGTCCTTCCACGTTTGCTCAGGGGCAAAAGCCTGAGGGATGCGAACATAAATCAAGGAAGTTTGCAGCTGCTTGATGTTGGGCGCCGTCTTAAGGTCCTTAGGCGCAGGCTTGGCAAGCTGAGCATCACTGGACTGTTGTTCCACAATGGCATCACGGAAGCGAAGTGTGTCGCCGATTCGGCCCGGGATCCGCTGACTCGTGGGGCCCTTCCCCAAGCACACAAACAACACTGAGTAAGGCTTACCAGCCGACTTCAGCATGCGAAGGGCCGTGGCCCCGTCCTCTTTGGTAGCAAGGAGCACCCCAGTCAGAGTCCGACCCTCTTGCGTGGCTTCGATGGTTGCCCCCAGTCCTGAGAAAGAGAGCAGCGGCGCATCCCAATCCTGCGCACGAAGCTGGAAAACATCATCACTGCTCTTAGTGCGTCGCGTGACAACCGTCCATGCCTGATCCTGGTTGGGGGGACCATTGGCACCCTTACCCTTTCCCACTTTCGGGGGCTTTGGGCCAGGAGGAGTGGCAGCACTCTTGTTGGCCCCCCGGCCATTGGCACGATCCTGGCTCTTGATTCGTACTGTCCGGACTGCACTGCTGGGTGGAGGGTCATGAGTGGCCGTGGCTCCAGCACCTTTACCTTTCCTACGAGGGTGCTTGGGTGGCTGCGCAGGTGATAAAGCTCCAATTGCCAAACCTGGGATGTCAAGTTGACTGAGAGCCTGCGCTATGGCAGCCTGGACAGCAGCCTCGATTTGAGCTTGGATTTGTTTTGCAAACTCAGGTCCAAGGAAGCTCAACGGTGATGTGGTCGCCGGGCCTGGGTGGGACGCCTCGCCCACGCGGCATCCGTGGAGATGATTATGATCAACCTCATGCGAAGCAGTAGCGCCGCCTCCACTGCAAAGGTGGCCCCAGGAGACCACGCATGCATCACCTAGGGCATGCACATCAAACCTGAAAGGATGCCCAGAAATGCAGTTTCCCGACCCCCATTCTGGGCCCCGAAACTCCGGCAAGACACGCACGGCAGGGGCCAGG